AGCGCACTGCAGTTAGTATGTGACGCTACATTTGAAGTGCTAGATTTAATTCAGAAAGTACACAAATTTACGCTGTGACTACCGTACCACGTAATCTATAATAATGGGTGAGCTTTTCTGCTCATGATAGAAGTATATTGCTTTAGATTGTGTTCTATCATGTATATATTATTAAATTGATAATCTTTACTGACCAGTGCGTTCTTGTAGAAATGTTAATAATATGCACCGAACTAGCTGTTGATGCGGCGACTGAAGCTAAATGTATTTATTTTTGACCAAAACAATCATTAATGTACATTTTAAGACTAGAAAGTCTGGCATTTTAAGGTTGCTGAGTTATCGTATTAGCGTGACTTTATTCCAAATGCCTTGCAATAATGTTACTATGTGAAGTACATATCCTCTGAAAAATACAGTGAAAATACGAGCGTTGTAAAACACATTCTGATATTAAATAAAACGATTTAATCAATATTCAATCAATCAGACGATTTAATCAATATTATAAGAGATATACATTTTTGACATGCATACATATTTTCGCTCATATAGCTGTGGCAATATTTCGTATCCAGATATGTCTATTATTAATCGTTTTAATATTAGTCAACAGTGTGTGATTTTTGCACAATTTAGCAGCGATGTCTATATACCACAATAAAAACGTATTTTTCATTAAAAATAAAGTCAATTTTTTAATAAACAGAACAAATAGTAACAAGTGTCACCGACCACAATTTTAAGATATTGATATATATCTTTGCCACATGAAACATTGCATACACGAAAACACTAAATCGGTAAATGTGTATAACTTTGGATCCGCGATCTCCTCTGAACCGAGTAGGGTAAATTATGGGGTATAATTTTATTTCATTTTCTTCTTACGTGTTACATGAAATTTCACATATCTAAATATATAGGAAATTACATTATTTTTACTGTTGACTAGCGTATTAAAAATAATAAACATTGAACTGGGTGCAATAATAGAATATGAATTTAAACTAGAAGGCACTCCGAGAGCACAAAAGTCCACCATTAATGAAAATTACATATCCTTACTAATACCCCTCTCCACCAAATGCGTACATTTGTCATTCTCACTCTTTGAAAAAAAAGACCAAATTGGGTTTTGAATAGATTTTTTCTCTCGAGAAATCGGACAATAAACATTATCTGACAATAGAAACAATCCATTAAAATGTATCTACTGGATCCATATCTCTCCTGAATCGAATCACTTGGTTTATGTTCGAACACTAACAAACTGTTGTCATCAAATAGTCATTGAAAACATGTGTTCCCATGCCAACGAGATTCAGATCGCAAACCAACCTCTAGCAAATTGATAACTCTTTCTGAAAATGTCATAAGAATTTAAAATTTTAAGTTTTAAATGATTCCTAATTCCCCAAACCAGATTGGTACTGGATTTCAAGAAAAACCCTTCTGAAAAATTAATGAGAATCAATCAATAACTTTTTGAGTTATAAGTGAAAAAATTATATGCAAAGTATGTGCAAATTAGATAATTAAGATGCACAAATCAAACACAAATCTGGTATTCCAGTAAGCAGTTCTTGAGAGACACATACATACAGACAAGGTAAACTCTGAGACTCCCTTTTTGTGCTTTCGTGACACAGAAGTAAAAAACACACTGAATTGGAAATATTTTTCTCATATGGAGGACAAATTAATAAATCTAATTTATAGGGCAGAGGAATGCTTGGGGATCCTTTAAATTATGAACACTACACAAAACACATTGTGGTTAAGTTTTATTTGTCACAAACAAATCAGTAAATACAATACTTCTCAGCAGCATTGAAATTCATTGATTGTTACTTGGCTTTCACCTTACTACTGAAAATTACAATTCTCTTTTGTCTTACATTGTTTAGAAGATACAACTTAATGGTTTACATTAAATTCAATTCTACCCACCATGATATAAGACACATGATTGTCAAGTATGAAATGTTAAATAAGTGACGTCAAAGGGAGGACTGTATCTCGAATTATTAGAGCCTGAAAATGTCACAAGAATAGCACTGAATGGCAGTATACAATTTTTATTTGGCATTCAAATTAGAGAACAATTGTTTATGCTTTTATAAACAATCCAAGACCATATGATAGTGATGTACACAATTCAAATGATAGGGGGTAAGTGTGTCACAAGATTGATACCCCTGACTCCCGATACACATTGACTACAGCTTTCTCAGCATTCATAAAATGAATATGGCAATTTGATTGGTTGAATTATTAAATAATCTAGCGTCAGACGAAATGTTTATTCGTTTGAAATGGGAGAGACTAAACAATATTATATCATGAAAGACAGAGAAGAGTGATATTACTAAAATGTACCACTCTTCTACCTAGGATGGACATTTGCTGTCGAGCTGAACATTACTGATTGTAAAATATGATTGCAAATTTTGAAGACAACTGGTGGTGGTTTATCATAACAGAAAACTGCCATAACACAAATATGGTCACTAATTTATTCAGTTATTTATGACGTGCAGCTGATGTGAGGTGGGGGAGGGTGGAGGTAGTGGTAGTGTGTGTGTGTGTGATTGGTTGCCATTCACAGCAACGAAGGTCATACAAAATCAAACAGAATAGTAGTCGAGCTTGAGCCACTGTCATTAACAGTGATAAAAAGTAAGTTCTTGTGTTAATAATGACAGACATTGTCCTAATTAATAAAGTTTGAGCATAAACGTGATTATTATAAAAAATTTTTTTAGAAATATTATTAAAACTGGTAGCCATAAACTTATTATTATACATTCTTCTTTTCTTATTCACATTCATATTTTAGTGAGACATAACAACCTAAAGTTTTCAAAGCAAAACATTTTACAACATTTCGTACCCGTACCATCATTTGGCTATAAAGACGTGATTGCATTTACATCACATTTTACATTGTGACGGAAAGTTTCCAAATAAGAAAAAATGTTCCAAACACATTCAAATGTGTCCATAATACTTTTAAACTTATTTGCACATGCTTTTAACAGATAGGTAGTCCACTGTTTCCACTGCCAGATGTATAACGATACAGGATTTCACTGTCAATTTCTACTACCAGTGTATCTTCACATCCATACGCCACATTTCATGCAAGGAATTCCAATGGTGTGTAAGTTTCAGCGACATACTCTGCAAGGTCTTGTATCCCTAATAATAGGGAAATAAACAAAATATGTGAGCTGACATTATTGTAGTAGCCCTCTAGTGTTGATATACAATACATCATTAGGGGGAGGGGTATGCACGAGTTGCTGTGGTAGTCTATGATCACTTAGAGATGTCCTAAACCATATTTTTCTGTCTTTCATTTTTATGTGCATGTCTATGACATATGTATTGTTGTATCAATGTTGACAAAAATTACTCAATGCATGTCTGCAAAATACTGTGAAATGACTAATTTTCACTGGGTATAAATTTTGCTGATTTACCATTTCAGGCATATTCAATGTGTTTTAAATTCACAGTTTTATCATTTAGATAATGTGTTCTATGCTAAATTTTAAATATTCACTGGGTTTTAATTTAGCGCATTTTCCAGTCAGCGAAATAATCGAAATTAAAACCCAGTGAATAATTAACCCTTCTACAGTAGGTCCAGACACTCACTGAAAGTCCTTAAATCTCCTCGAACAATCAAAATGAGGAGATTACAAACTGCCTCGCAGAAAAAACTAAACCTTTTCTTCAGTAGTCAGGATGAGATCAAAACCCAATTTCAAGATAATTTGAATACATGAATAAATTATTGAGATGAAAATTAAAATTTGTGAATTATGATGTCAATAGTGAAAAATAACATATACATGTAAACAACAGTTTTCTGGTGTGCACCTGCATAAGTTTGAGAATCTGACAAAAATTCAGCAGTTGCAAGTATGATAGTTCTGGTTATGTGAAGTTTGGAGTGTACTTTAAGTCTTAGTTACCCTTTGAATAGAACAAAACACCATATTCACTAATAAACCTAATGGCTGTATCTATCAATGTTCATTATTGGCATCACAAATTAGTCCCTTGAAAATCTAAGTGATTATATAGTTGTCGTCTACCTCCAAATGCATTCAAAACTCAGAATTAACAAAGCAATTTAGTGTAGTATTTATAAATCAGTGCTTTCTTTAAATTACTAAATTTACTAAAATTACTGGATTTACCTGTACTCTAAAATATCAAATTAGATTTCAACAACAAACAAAATGAACCTAGAATTTATGCATAATTCTACTCACTCCTTCGTAAATAGAATATACTAAATAGATCCTGGGTTAGGTCATATGCAAATTGATAAATATTCAATAATAATTAACAGCCTTGAGGTTAAGAGTCACACAGGAAAAACAAAGTCAGTCATAAACAATCAACTATATTTTATTCTGTCTGTGTACTTACTTTTTCTTCGTTCTTCCTTCTCAAGAACTGGATTTCTTTCAACATCTTCCTGATCTCCCAAATTCAGTTTCCCTAATTTCCAGGAAATCACCAGCGATCCCAAAACTGTCCATGTTCCTAGTGCGTAAACTATAGACGCCCAACGAGCCAATTTGAGCTTATCAACACCTTTCATATCAAATTACAGTCAAAAGTGTCCACTGTTCCAGAATAATAATTATTTACGATTAGTGCAACGTATATTGAACCATTTACGTATAGATCAACCACATATCATAAACACCAAGCTTGTTGTTGTTATTCTGCTGCACGTACTACTAGTACTTCGCGCTAATGGTAATAGTTCAAGGCGGCAGATACAAGTTGCGCCCCCTACGCTATACGACGTTTCAAGTACTCAACTTATATGTAACGTGATTTCATTCGTTGCTGAACTGCACGCTGACGAATCACGGCAAGTGTTGTAAAATTGTAGATTCGGTCAAAGGTTGACTTGGGTCACAAAGTTCGCGCCATATTCAATAAGTATATTGCGATAACAAAATGGCAGTCTACGTAGACAGAACAAGTTTGGAGATAGATAACGAAGAGGACCCTTCACGAATTTGTTCTATTCCTTGTAAAATTGGACATGATGGCGAAGCTAACGTTGACAAATATTTCTATTCAACGATTTCGAAGACAGATGCTGGTAGGCTAACACATTTTATTTGCAACTGAACACTATACTATAGTCTAGAGAGGAAATAATAATAACTTTATTACACTACTAAAAACCTTCAGAAGGTTTTTGTATGGTAAGGAACATAAATACAAAGAAATAAAAAACATACAATACATAAGAGATAATAATGATGTTCCAAATCATGGCATATGGAGTTTGCTGTGTTTGACGCAAATTTCCGAACAGACTAACGTGTACTAGGTTTGATATTTAAACACAGTCCCTCTATCCCCGGTCTGGAAACGTTTAGCGTTCTTTTGTCTCGAACCGCGGTGCGGGTAAATAAACCGTTCACACCCGGGCCGAGGGAGTCAGGAAGACAAAACATTCATTAAAATCGGAAAATTTACCGTCATGCAAAGCGATACCTCATTGTAATAATAATAATAATAATAATAAACTTTATTGATATCGTATCCTTTATAGGATCTTGAGTTAAATTACAATAAAGTGTGGATGAAAAAAAACAACAAGAAAGACAATAAGATAAAATATCATAAAAATGATAACAGAAAAAAAAAAAAAAAAAACCTTGCAGATATGCCTTGATATTAATATTGTTGTTTATTTGGATGAGAATGAAGGCTTTTTCATGTTATTTTCTCTAATTTTGAAACATTCAGAAATGTATTTAGCTAGTTTTATAATTGTTTTATTTTCATTGTTGTTCATCATAGCTATCATTTTTTCTTCATCTGTCGTGTTTGGGAGTGACATTTTTGACTTAGTGTTTAGTTGGTTTCTTTCATTTTCATATAATTTGCAGTTAAGCAGAAAATGTTTTTCATCGTCAATTTCACAGGGCATTTCCTTTTGCATGCATCTATTTTATTGTAGCGACCCATTTCTATTTGTAGAACATGAGCACTAATTCTTAGTTTTGTTAGTGCTGATCTATGTTTAGAGTCTTTTATTACTGAAAGATACTCCTCATATGAGCAGTCATTTTTTAACATTCTGAATGTGCGCAATTTGTTTTTTTGGTTTTTTCCTTTGTTGTCATCCTGCATTTTTTCTTGACTGTTAATTTTGAATATTTTTCGGAGATTGTCCATAACCTTTTTTGTTATAGAGGCAGCATTATGCAGATGTATGACTTCACTTTGACTTAAAGTTCGGGCAACCACAACGTAAACAAACATGTAAACAAAATTATCACTATGAAATTTCGTTTTTTTTGAACCCAGATACGCATCACAACCAGCCTACCAACTCATAAACATCCAGTTCCTGCAATGCAAAGAATAATATCGGGCATTATGTTCATTTTCTCGTTTTAATAGGGAAAAATTTTGGCGTGCCAACATACTGACATCGCTAAACAAATTTTGTCAAAATGGCGTCGTTCATGTTAACGTAGTCGATCGAAAAACCTGCGATATTTCTGATTCTTGGGGAGTTCATAAGAGTTCAAGTCAACTATACAACAACTAATGACTTTATTGTATGCAAAAGTATATAACAATGCTTCAATATTTGTATATAAATTATTTTTTTAGCACAGAATTGAGTACATTGTCATTTCAAAACGTCGCCATTTGCATTTACGATTTAAAAAACATCCATAAAAGTCGCTCAATTTAACATTAATAAAATGCGGTGTGACAAATAACAAATCAGCCCACCAATTTTTAATGATATGTTTCGATCATAAAATGTCAAAATCGAAGACAAATATTGGTTTCGCACCGAGAAGCATGGTAAATAAAATAGAGTTTATTTCAATCACCTTATACAGATATCCTGATTAAAAAATTATGTGAAAAAGCATGAATTCTGAATAAACAACTAAGTTGTAAAAAAGTACATAACACTGACGATGTCAAAAATAGTGGCCGGGTGCGTACTGATCACGTGACAATGCTTTGCCCATACCCGCAATGCGCCTTTGCCAGGGAAGGAGGCCAATTCACACCTAATACAATGACTATTTCCAGACCGGGGATAGAGGGACTGTGATTTAAACAAGTAAATTGTAATCTGTTCAAAGTATGTTTTGTGCGATTGTTTTGTGCGATTAGCGGGACAGGGGAAAGACAGAGGCGGAGCACTTGGTGGAATCCATGTGATTGAGCTGTTCCCCTTTATTAAAGATACTTTCTGTGTTTCCCAACTATCAACATTCTGTCACAAATACAAGCATGCATAAGTATTCACGATTTTCAACTTGTTTGTACTTTTATTAAAAATTTGCTGCTAAATACTGTACAATCACAATCTCATTCTGTTTTTGTTTTGTTTTTATAAATGTAAATTCAAATTGAAGCGAGTAGTTTCTGTTAGCTGACGGAATAACATTTGAACATTTTCAAATCTGTCATTAATGCCGACATGTGACCTGAATCCTTTTATGCAATAAGGTCAGTCTCAAACCTGTTAGACTTAGAATAATATCCATCAGCTAAAGGCCTATGACAACATTGTGCACTGCACTCACTAATTGGCTTGTTGGATTCAACTGTCATTGAAATTTTATGATATTCATAAAAACAAGAACAGGTTTTTGTGATCGTGATAGTATATTAATGTACAAGAGCTTGTCAACTTGCTTGATTCGTCATTGTTACAGCAAGTCTCAGAGGTATTGGGGCAGCCAATTTGCAAAATCGGCTAACTGCTTGGGTTTGGACTAAACAGCTGGCTTTTGAATCTCACTGGCGCCGACTCGTGGTCGCATCCACTCTGGGCGAGTCTAAGTAGCATTAGGAGACATAGAATACTTTATGTAGCCTGGTAGGTACAGGTACATGTACATGTCTAGATTCCCTTGAATGATTTGCTTTGTTACAAGGCGTGATACCGTAGTTTCCCTGGTAAGCCTGAGAATGGCCACAATCAGCTGGCGTAAAGCAATAATATGATAAATGCGATTAATCCGCCGATATTTACTATATGGGGTAGCCATCTTGAACACTGCTTGAAACTAAGTAACTTGAAAGAGACAAGTTGAAATTTGACAAACAGTTTCCTACAAATAAGGAAGAAAATGATAAACTTTCACATCTAAATGATCCAACAGCTAAAAAATCGACCTCATTCGTCATTTTTGTGTGGTCAATCCCTTGTATACGAATACCTCATTACACATAGACCTGGTATATTTGAAAGCGTCATCCAACTGGCTTGATTAGCTCCTAAAGTATGACGACCGCCCCCTACTGTTATATAGATTCGCCCAGAGTGCGCGTGACCACAAGACAGCGCCAGCGAGTTAGCCAATTCGCTAGCAAGTTTACAAATTGGTTGCTCCAATACTTCTGAGACTTGCTGTAAGCATCAATGGCGTGAACACAGTCCTGGAGGGCCATGCTCTGAAGAATGACGAATGAAGTTCGATAAGATGACCACAAGCAGGTATGTCGTCTTTTATATGGGTATCAATAAATTCATTTGACATCACACAGCATAATTTATTTAAATATTTTGTTTCAGATATGAGTTCATCTTTTCGAGGCAGAGGATTGAATGGCAAGCACTTAGACCTACCAGACGGTTATACAGGTACGTTTCTATTATTTTTGCCATGTGCCAACTAAACGGTTTTACAAAGGTAGCAGTTTTATAATTTGGCAGTACTTGAAACATTAGTGCATTATTCAACAAACAGAATACATTCTAATTGTGTGTAAGCAAATATTGTTTTTTTACGCAAGTTGTATATGTTGCATGGGACCCATATTGACACTACGACTGCTACACTTTAACTATGTTTTTGTGATTATAAAATCAGTAAACTAACTATGGATTGATAGCAAAGGTACATGACACTTGAAATATATTACCCCAAATTTTTGAAAGGTTAAGTAGTATCCCAGTAACAGCTCAGAGTACTGACTAGTTTACCAGTTTTAGTTTCATTTTCAATTTACAGGAATTGTTCTCAAGGAAGATAAGAAACCGTTTCTTGAAGAGGAGGTAAAGATGGCTGAAATGCTTAGCATTCACACGTTTATACTTAACTGTTTATTGGTGTTGCCATTACTTTAAAAACGTTATTTAGATTTTTTTTTTTATGGAAATATTACTATTACTGTAGTCACATATATGTTTTAGTACCACCACAGTACCTCCACTATCTATTTACCGTAGTGTTGAATGTGATTTCATTGTGGACCTGGGCAGAAATTATTTCCTATAGAGGAGATCATATTACTGATTGCCTATTGGCGTCCATGTCAGTTTATATACCTAAACGTGCACAATACCTTGTTCAGGGCCACGGCTCACATTTGTCTAGTTGAACTCTTCAGGTTCTCTATGAGTACTGTAATTTTTATTACATCACAAATTTCGTGTACGCATGCCCACACTTGGTATCACATGGCTATTTTGTCCACAGCTGAAGCATATCTTGTGCTGCATACTCTACTACCGGTACTATATACTGAGAGTCTGTTTTCGCATCGCGCATCTCATCTCACATGACTTGATTGTGTTATTTTGTCTCAGGATCGCCATTTTAAAGTCACACACAAGTTCAACAAGTTTACATACTGGAATTGGGATTGTTTGCCCTCATCCAATGATGCAATGATTAAATCCATGCTATGGCCCACAATTGCCAAAGCGGTAAGTCTAATACCAAATACTGCTTCAAGTTAAGAGTGAAACATATTACAGGTACCAATAGTCAATGTGAAACCTGAAAAGCAGGACTATTTTACACATATTTGGCTAATTATTATGAATATTAGATGTGCACAAATTTCAACCTTGTACCATTCAGCATGTCATTGCTTACACAAACAAGCGACCTGATGGTCGAAATAGCTCTGCTGTCTTCATTATCATGAAACAAGAATCAGTGGCATCGTGGTTGTAATATTCATAGTCAGTCATTTAGAGAACATTGCACTTGAGTTACAGTTGCAATTATGAACTTTTATAGTGTTCATAAAGATAGTGCATTTCATTGGACAAACATCATTGAGGCTAAACTTAAGTAATCCTGGGTGTGCAAAAACCTGAGAAATAGTTGAGAACAAAAAAATATGTTTTTGTTTGAAAATTGTGGTCATATTTTTGAAATGTTATCCTTCCTAATAGGGTTATACATATATGTAATTGTTGAACAAATGTTCAATAAATCTGTGCAGTAATAATCTTATGATCAGATATAATCAATTACTCCAGATCAATTGTTGTGCCATACACTGTGCTGGCTTCTGAAATAAGCTGAGAACATCTAAAAGTTGTTTCTAATGACTGTATCTGCAGCATTAATATTGAAATCACCAACAATAAGAAATTGAGAGTATGGGTCTATATGTTCTTTAATAAAATGCACTTTGTCTTGGCATTTGGACTCACTGTTGAAAATAACATTAAAATGACAAAAATATTCACTAAAAATCCAAATTTGTTTATTTTGACACAAATTTAACAAATCTGACAGCATTTGGACTTGCGGTTACCGACTAGTTGTCGAAAATAAAATATTCACCAAAATCCAAATCTGACAGAGGACCACCCCACGTATCATTGCTGGAAATATGAAAGCATTTGGACTTACGGTTTTAGACTAGTTGTCAAAAAAATTATTCACTAAAAATCCAAATTTCAATATTTTGACATGAATTTCGACAAATAGGACTGCTGAGCCTATGGGATGGGTTTCTGTCCTGTGTCTGTCTGTGCACGACTTCTTCTCAAAAACCGCCGAATCGTTTGACTCGATTTTTGGTGTGTGGATGCCTTGATGAGTGTAGATGGTAATTTGTTCATGAAGTCACTCTGCCAAAAATTTTGCAAATTAGCCCCCGAAAACTGTGGCGGTCTATAGTGAGAGCGCCATCTATAGTATGGTGTTGGAATAACTTTGTTTATGAATAAGTCTGTGCGTCCCTGTGTCGGTCAGTCGAATTGTTTGTGTGGGCAGGTCGATTCTCCTGTTAAATCGACTGAATTCCTTCCAAAGACTAGAATTTAGTGACTGGCAGAAGTCTTTTCCGAAAGTTGTGGTTGTGTGGATCGACCGCAGAGGTTGCAGTTTGCTGTTGCCATTGTGTTGAACGAATTCGTGTTGAACCTAGCTGCAGTTCTGTAGCTATTTTACCAAACTGAAATCAGATTTCAAGACGAAAACTGCGGAAAACTACAGTGAAATTCCTGTATTTTTTTTGGTTTTTTTTATCAGAAATGGATAGTTATGTCTTTAATCAGTCTTTTCAACTTCTTGGATAAGTGTATATGAATACATTTTTTTTTTTTTTTTTTTTTTTTTTTTATTCATTATGCAAAAATTACAAATTACAGACAAAACAATAATAACAGAAAAACATTTACAGATCATAATATTCAATAAAAGGCCCCCACTTCTTTAGAAACTTTGTTCTTCTGTTCTGAGCTTTCGCAAAGATACTTCCAGAT